ACGCCGAGCGCAGGGGCGTGGAACGCGCAGCGGGCGAAGTTGCGCAACAGTAAATGAAGACGCTTCGGTCCCACGGCTTCAATCAGCGCCCGCGCTTCGAGCAGGTTGTGGGTTACCTGGAGCCTACTTGGACGACTTCGTGCAGTCCAGCGAGGACCCCAACCCGCAGCCTCTGCAGCACCTGAGGGCGATTCCAGAGGAAGGCTTCACGCACTCCCGCCGACGCCAGGGCGGAAACCGCTTCCGCGAGGACGACCTGGCTGGAGACTCAGAGAGGCCTCCATCACGGGCCGTCTGCGCAGCGCGGCCGATGGAGCGCCAGCTCGGCGGAGGCAGGCGGCTCTGACGTGACTGTCCCGAGCTGCGGGAGCTTGCCCGGGAGTTCGACTGGGACTGAGGAGTCACTGGGTTCAGGTTTTAGAAGAGGGGCGCGGCGTGTGATTGGCCTGCGCCTGGACTCGGAAGCCAGACTGGGAGGAGGCGCGGCTGCTTGCGGGGCTGCCTGAAGTGCTGCTGCCGGAGCGCAGCGTAAAGTTGCGGCTGCGTGGCGTCGTTCATACCGTGGGCGGACGTCCTGGCCGCGTCCTCGCTGCCGAGGCCGGAAGAGCGTGTTCTCCAGCACCCAGCCCGTGCCACGGGCCAGGCCGTAGGCTGCGCCGCCTGCGAGTCCCACAGCCAACCCAGCCGTCGCCGCTGCGCCGACTCCTGCCGTGGCAGCCAGCGTTCCAGCAACCTCGCCCGCTGTGGCGAGCTGCTGCTCCTCTGCCAGGCCTCCCAGGTACCCGAAGGCCCCGCCCACGCCCTCGAAGGCAACGGCAACCTCTCCCTCCTCCGCAGCCTATGGCCTGCGCTGCGCCGCGCTCCACCCCTGCACGCGCTGCCCGCGCTCTATGTCGTCGGGTCGGCCTATGATCTGCGGTGGCTGCGGCTGCGGCCCTGGGCGGGGCAACACATTTGGGCGGACGTACTCAGCAGCGTCCTGGGGGAGCTGGGAGCGGAAGGCCTGCGCCGGCGAGTCCTGCTGCTCCTGCGCCCACAAGGTCCGCTGCTGCCCGAGACATCGAGGCGGGCCTAGACTCTCCCTGTGTTGCGCTACAAGTAAAGAAGCATGGTAGTCACAGCCGGAGCACAGGATGGTTGATGCAGAGCCTGGACTACAAGCTGAAAACCAGCAACACCAACTACGTGACCGCACGGCACGACGTGCAGTTTTTTCCCAGCCGCTGAGCTCCTTCTCTCCCGCCACTGACCAGTGGTACCTTGTTCATCGACCCCGAGTCGATCAAGATCGCCTTCAGAGTCAGAAACACGGACGCCACCAACCCGCTGGCGCCTGCCACTCCGAACCCCGCCTGTTTCATCCAGAGGAGCCAACGGCCAGCGCTGCGACGACATTAACTACTACGGCCGCACCGTGGCCGTGCATGACCTGCTGAAGGGCCGCGAGTACAACCAGAACAAGGCCGTGGAGGGCTTCAACGAGGTGAACAACTCTCGGACGCCCCGAGCGGTGCACCAGGGCACCGAGTGCTCCTCTCAGGAAGGTCGCTTGTGTTCAGCTACCTCACAGTGCACACGCAGCAGTCCACGGTGCCTCCGGGCGTGGCGGAGCACAACGTCACCGTGGCGCGTGCCTTCACAAAACTCGTGGGAGCGTTCGTAACTTTTTGGGACAACGACGCGGGCTCTAAGATCCACCTGCTGGCCAACCGGGCCAGGACGTGGCGCAGATGCAGCTGGGCAGCCTGCAGTACCCGCACAACCCATGAAGGGAGCCTCGGAGCACTTCCACTTCCTCTCGGTCCTTGCGGGGACCTACGACACGGTGCGCAACACGACATCGAACCGCGCTGGCTACCTGCGCCACAGCTTCATCGCGGGCTTCCCGACGGAGCGAGTGCCCAAGATGCCCCTCAGTGGCGTCAGCACTCGTTCGGGCGACCTGGCTCGGTTCACTTTCAAGGCGCTCGACGGCACGATGACGGATGTCTGACAGACCGCGGGCTCGATTCCACCCGGGCGCGGATCATTTCGGGTGAGTGCCTTTTTTGGAATTCATTTTCCTCCCTCTACCCGAGACGGATCATCGCCGAGAGACGGATCTTTCCGCCTCCAGCCCAGTGACCGCCTCTCCTGGGAACGAGAAATCCCCGAGACGGATCTTTCCGCCTCCAGCCCGGTGAGCCTCTCCGAGACGGATCTTATTGCCTCCAGCCCGGTGAGCGCCTCTCCTGGGAGCGAGAAATCCCCGAGACGGATCATTGTGGAGAGACGGATCATTGTGGAGAGACGGATCTTTCCACCGCCAGCCCGGTGAGCGCCTCTCCTTCAAAGACTTTAATTCCCAGGTCCGAGACGGATCTTATTGCTTCCAGCCCGGTGAGCGCCTCTCCTGGGAGCGAGAAATTGCCGAGACGGATCATTGTGGAGAGACGGATCTTTCCACCGCCAGCCCGGTGAGCGCCTCTCCTTAAAAGACTTTAATTCCCAGGTCCGAGACGGATCTTATCCTCCAGCCCGGTGAGCGCCTCTCCTGGGAGCGAGAAATCCCCGAGACGGATCATTGTGGAGAGACGGATCGTTGTGGAGAGACGGATCTTTCCGCCGCCAGCCCGGTGAGCGCCTTAAAAGACTTTAATTCCCAGGTCCGAGACGGATCTTATTGCCTCCAGCCCGGTGAGCGCCTCTCCTGGGAGCGAGAAATCCCCGAGACGGATCATTGTGGAGAGACGGATCATTGTGGAGAGACGGATCTTTCCGCCTCCAGCCCGGTGAGCGCCTCTCCTTAAAAGACTTTAAATCCCAGGTCCGAGACGGATCTTATTGCCTCCAGCCCGGTGAGCGCCTCTCCTGGGAGCGAGAAATCCCCGAGACGGATCATTGTGGAGAGACGGATCTTTCCACCGCCAGCCCGGTGAGCGCCTCTCCTGAGAATAAAAAAAAACCTATCCTGGTCCGAGACGGATCATCGCCGAGAGACGGATCTTCCTGCTTTTTTTGGCCTTGGAACTGGAGACAGGCACCAACCAATTTTTGGTTGATGCCCGCGTAGAGTTCGGAACTGGAAACAGGCATGTCCCATTTTTTGGGCCCTGCCCGCGTGGAGTTCCGCGTAAAGTTCCGCGTGGAGGCAGGCCCGGCACCGTGCCGGCGGCCAGGCGCCGCAGCAAATCGGGTTGTCCCCGACTGGCCCAAAGGAGTCCCGGCAGCTCTCCATCACGTCCGCCAGGGCCAGAACGTCGGTGTGGAGGTAGCAGTCGTGGAACTTGCGGAAGGTCTTCCGCTCCATGAGTAGGCGGTGTTGACGGCCAGCGTGTCCTCTGCGCTCACCGCTTTTCGCCATGCAGGCGAACCTGAACCAAGGACGTTGAGATGATGGGCTGGGCAAGCTCGGCGACGAGACCTCCCCGCCAGGATCCTGGAGTACGTCGGCCGCGCAAGATGTACAGCATCCTCACGGTCCAGCCCGACGGCGCGCGCAAGGAAAGCGCAAAATCAAGGGCGTGCCGAAGAAGGCGGTGACCAACGTCCGAGTACCGGGAGGCGCTGGAGGAAGGCAGCGAGCGCAGGGCGGCCTTCGCGCAGCTGTGCAGCCGCGCGCGCGAGATCGCCGTGGAGACCGTTGAGAAGAAGTCGCTCTCGCCCTTCAACAAGTCTACGGCCTTGACGCTCCAACTTGCGCCGCTGGGACTGGCGCCCGAACTAGCTCAATGAAATCTAGTTCAGTTTTGTCGCGTCTTTGACAAAGGCTAGTCATAGATAGAGACTCGATACCATGCCACTCACACACTTTCATTCGACTCAAGACTCAAAACGTTTGTTCTAAGATTCTAAAATCTAACACCAAACTTCTAGATGTTTGGGCATGATGTTGATGCTGCGCCCATCAGATCATGGTCAGCCGCGCTGCCGGCAAGCTCCCAGACCTTGCAAATCGCATCCGAGCCTGGCCACGCTTGGCGACGGTTGCAGATATGTTCAGCGGGGCTGGCACGTTTCTCCATGTGACAGAGACTGTAATGCAAGTGCTGAATGAAGAGTTCCCAGAGGAGACATCCGGCTTGGCTGACGCTTGGACTGCTACTGGCAACTGTTTGGGTCAGATGCGCCTGCTTGCCCAACCAGGTTCAGGATTCAAGTGTCCAGAGTCCAGAGTCCAGGGCCATAGTGAATGACAATGAGGTAGTTGAACTTTGAAGCTGGAGAACTATTTCACCGAACTTATGCTCGCTCAATATTTGCAATGTTACAGCAACCATCGGCCCATCATGTCTGTCAGGTCAGCCACGAGTTTATGGCAGAGGTGGTGGCGTTCAAGCAAGCCTTTTTGGCTGCCTCCCTGGCCGAATCTCACAGCCCGGACTGCTGTGTCTTCAATGATGCCACGCAGATGTTTTGCCCGGATCGGTCCTGCGTGCGCCATGGAAATGAGTGTGTGCCTTGGCACCTTATCTCCAGCAACTTTTGTTTAGCAGGTTTAGCTGCCTAGCTGTCAGCTGGTTGTTTCTACTGGGGTATCGAGTCTTGAGGCAGTGCCAGTTGATTGTGGATCGTACAGACATGTTTAACGTTTAAAGTTTAAGGTTTAAAGTTTGAAGTGTTTATACCTATAAACTAAGTTTATAATAATATATGTATATAAATACATTTAGCATCGGATAGGCGAGGCCGAGTTTTTTCCTTGAGTCTTGCTACGCTGCTAGCTCAGGGCCTGCCAGACGAATTGTGGGGCTTCAATGCTGGTTTTTCTTGTAAGAGATTCAGCCGCTTACATAATGACTACAGCAAGCTTCAGCGAGCTATGGCCGAGGACAATCTCGACTCTCGGCATGTGTGCTCCCGCTGACCGCTAAGATGTAGTTGCCGTTGCCGCTGAGGTTTACTAGTTTAGTTTGTTACAGTTAGTTAGTTTTTCAAGTTTTGACACGAGGTAAATTTCTTTGAGTCAGTTTTCGATTTTGAGCTTATCCATGTCAGCTGTTCATTTGACTACGATTCAGGAAAGCTCCAGTGTACAGACGTTCAAATGTGTAATCAACTTGCTGAACACTGTCCCGGTCAGCTGGTTCATCTTGGAAAATGTCGACCTCGACTCGGAGCCGGACGGGAACCTAGACCTCATCATGAAAGCGCTGTCATCCTCCGGATTTGGCACGCATGCTGACGGATACCAGGTGAAGGCCTTCAAGATTTTGACGAGCGATTACGGACTCCCTTCTCGGCGAATACGACTCTACTTTGTAGGAGTCAGTCGCAGCTCATTTCCACAGTTCAGCATGAAATGCGTTGAGCGGAACCTCAACATGTTCACGCTGAAGTGCCAGCCACCGGACGCTGTGCCGCATGGCGCTCGTCGTTTGTCATTTGAGTCTACTGGCACGAGTCATAGTCATAGCGGCCATGACAAATTCACTCACACCCTCAAATCTCAAACTTCAACACCTCAAGACTCAAGACTCAAGACGGTGCTGACACTGTAGAGTCTAGAGTCTAGAGTCTCTTCTCTACAGCCAATGCTAACTTGACTAAGTGGCTACTTTGTTGAACTTGGTTGGGTGTTGTTCTTTGGGTTGCTTTTGCCTTACCCACTTGTTTGCATTCAGGAGGACTTTATGCTGGATGATGACAGTGCGCCGGTCCAAGCAGAACTCGGGAGGCGACAGGCTACGCGAGCATCGTCGACTGGCGGCGCTGAAGATTCTAAGTGGAAAAGCCAGCGCATGGATCTTGCCGAGAAACGTTGCCTTGCAGCATTATGGTACTTGATGTTCCCACACTCCCAACTAGTAACGTGCAACTCAAAGCCCGGACCCCTGAGGTTGATGCACGTATGTCAGTCCTGAATCCGTTGATCGCTCAGGGGGGCTCCGCTGGCCCTTGACAGTGGTCGAGCCAATGGCAGCCAGCCCGTGGTTCCACACATTGCCAGAGGGAGAAGGAAGACACTTGCCGGGTTGACTCGACTCAGTTTTAAACGGCTTTCGGTTATTGAGTTTTCAGTTCCTATTTTTCGTAGGACACAAGTTCGCCCCTCTTGGCCCTGCATAATCATTGTTCCAGTTTGCACTCAGTCTCTTTTATTAGTATTAGACGACCTAGAGCTTGGGAGTGGTGTGGTAGATTATAGATTCTAGATGCCGCCATTCGGGCGGGACTTACATTCGGATTCGGACTGGCCGACTCGCCCCTTTACCGCTTTGGTTATTGCATTAGCTTGGCATGTGATTGCGTCGCGCCGAGAACACGCTGTTTTTGATGGACGAGAAGAAGTCACGGGAGAAGACCAAGCAGGGGCCCATTAGATTTGGGGACGTCTACCACTCCGCGCATAGGCTCCCATCCAGCTCCAATGATGTGCCTTGGCATGTTATGTTATGTTCGATAGTCTTGCAGCCGTCTTGGAAAATTGAATTGAATTGCTCATACCACACAGGAGATCCCGACGCTCCTTCCTGGCAGCAAAATATTTGACCTGGAGCGGCATCGCCTCATTTTGGAAGTCTCGCACACCACTCTTGCAATTTTGCTACTGTGTTTTGTGACGTTGTGTGGTTGGGTGCGTTGATTCCCCCCCACGCACACACACAACGTTGCGAGTTTTACCATTTTAATCCGGTTAGAATTAGCAATGATAATCTTTTGGTGTTCCAGCTGAGGCCGTGAAGCTCTCCACCTACAAGGGCTCCAATTTCCTGCGCACATTTTGAAGGCCTTTTCAGAAGGGCAGTTGTCAGACTTAGCAGGAAACAGGTTCCTTGGTTCCATTCAGTTGTCAATGGCTAGCCATGCAATGTGGCGTGGTGGGCCTTCGTCGCATTTTGTTGCCTTTGTTGGCGGCTTGTGATCTAAGTTTCTCAGCTACCGTATGCGCTGCGGTGCTATTGGCGGTGCTATGCGAGTTGCAACACCAGACCGAATCGGAGGAAGAGGAGGAAGAACACTTGGTGACGCTTGTGGCACAGTGCCTTTGCTTGACTCTGCGCTTGCTGTGGGGTGGTCAATTGGCAAATGTTTTCTTGGCTGCGTTGCGCCACACGCCAAGGTTGAAGCGTCAACGACATAATTGAGTCGAGATGCGTGGGTGCGCGTCCAGTTGTTTGCATGAATCGACCCAACCCATGGCTGCGGCTACTTTTCAGCGGGTGAAACGACATTTCCACACAAGTAGTTCAAGTGTTCAAGTTCACAAGTTCCCCATGTTGAATGAAGCTGGTTCAAGTGACAACACGAACAATGGTAAGTTAGTCCCAGGAATTCGCGCCATGGGAGGGTTCATTTTGGGCCCTGTAGCGTTGCATTGATGAAATACGGCTTGCGTGACGCACGCCGACAATGTGTCGCCGACAACGCAGATTCACCGATTTGCCGCGGGGCACGCTGCTGGGAGACATCCCAGGCGTGATTGTCATTGTGGAATTGTGGAACCTAGGACCTATAGCTGAACTGACTTACCTGGTTCCCATAATCCGATGACCCACACCTCCTAACAGTAGAATCGGTTTTGTAGGGTTTTGTAGGGTCCTGGATGGGGGGGGAAAAAACTTAAATAAACTAAACACTATAAACCACACACACATAACGCCGGGGGGGGGGGTCATCCATGAGTTGAGTTTGGTTGCGTTACCACAAATCAGGGATCCGGAATCTTTTGATGTGACGCAGCGTGAGCGGCCCGATCGCCTCAGTCCAACAGAGGATGTGAATTGCGTTTGACACACACCAGGCGGCGGCCGAGGTGGAAAATGGGGCCGGCCTTGTCCCGTGCTCGTTCGAGAACCAGTTTTAAGTTAACAACTTTTATGTTTTACGATAAGTGCACCGAACCCATTTGCTCCACTTGTTTTCAGAAGAGCCCTCAACACTTGCGCTGCCTGACGCTGCTGAACGCGTGATATTTTGCAAGTATTGGCGAGGGCTCATAAGGCGTCGACTTGTACAGGGGCCCACCCTGCACGCCCTCATCCACTCCCGCGCGCCAAGTACTGCTGCGCTTTTAACTTTTCACTTTAGCTTCATGGGACACATGACAGAATGGTTAGGTTTCATGATTCATAATGCTAGAATTACAATCGCAAATGGTTACGCGAAGCGGATGTCGCACCCTTGCGCCGCGCGCTCGCGAGTCACAATTTTACTTACTGTGCTGCTGTGCCAACAGTGTCGCGCTGTGACGTTCGTGCCGCCGTGCCGCGCCAATCACACCGCTGCGCCGCGCCACGTGAGCCGCGCCGCTTGTGCCATTGCGCCATGCCGACTCGTAGCCTTGCGGTGTACCAGTCGCACCCTTGCAGCGCACCCTTGCGCAGTGCCAGTCGTACCCTCGCGCCGTACCAGTCGCACCCTTGCGCCGTACCAGTCGCACCCTTGCGCCGTACCAGTCGCACTTGCACCGTACCACTTGCGCCCTTGCGCCGTACCAGTCGCACCCTTGTGCCGTACCAGTCGCACCCTTGTGCCGTACCAGTCGTACCCTGGCGTCGCGCCACTAGAAAATGTCATTGCCCCAGTATTTGCACATGCCTCCAGAGCATGACTCTTAAATTTAGTTAAGTTGGTTCACCAACCCTTTCCCCGGTGCAAGCAGTGCTTTCATGCCTCTGGCAAACACGACGAATGCTGAGTGCCCAAAAGTTCCGACCTTAGAGCTGCCTTTCCTGCTGTTCAGTTTGTGCATGTCCTTCGTGCAGGTCCTACTTGTTTTGCTGTCGGCTCGAGTTTCTGGTTCTCATTTACTAGGTAGCCATGAACTTGCTTGACAGCAAGTCAGAGTTTGACAGCCGTGCCCAACAGGTTGGACTTGTGGAGGAAGTTTTGCAGGCCCTTGGCGACAAGGGCATCGCCTCGTTGGCCTGGGCTTTGCGGCGGGCACCCCAGGTACCACAGATGAGACCTCGCTGCGGGCATGGGCCGGTGAGACTCTCACAGGTCTCTTGGTGCCTGCCTTCGCGCGCCTTTCCGGAGCGCTCCAATCGGCAGGGACCTGCCAAGCGTCAACCCAAAGGGCGTGGCAAGTCCTCCGCCAAGTCCAAGGGCCGTGCCCAGTTTTCCAGCGCCCCTGCAGCGCAAAGGGTTGAAGGGCCGCAACGAGCAGGGCGAGTTGCTCTGCTGGAATTACAACATGGAGCGGCCCTGCCAGAAGAAGCCTTGCCAGTTGAAGCATCAGTGCATGAAGTGCTTTGGGCCTCACCCCTACACCTTGTGCACAATCCTGTGACCGAGCACGAGCCAACCGATTCCGTTAATCTTGGCTTGCCGTGGGTCATTCAGTTTCGGCTGTTCCGCTGCAGAGCCTCTTTTGCCAACACCATCCCGTTCTTTCCCAAGTCAGCCAGTCTCCTCTTTCCCTTTTACAATCAATTTGGCCCCTGCGCCGGGTAGGCATGCCCCTGTGCGTCCTACCACCTCACCCAGCGAGGTTTCCCAGGCCCCTGTGCCTGCTGAGTTCGCCCCGCCCAGCGTCTCCCCAAGAAGCTCTTCCCAAGACCCCGGTGCCTTCTGGGTCTGCCCCTGTGCGGCCAGCGCTCCCCAGCATTTCTCTTGGCCCCTGTGCCTGGCGGGTGTGCCCCTGTGCACCCCGCCGCTTCCCAGGTAGCACCACCAGGGCCGGCATCAAGCGCGTGGTGTGCTCAGTAGCAACTGACTGTAAAACATGCCACCGCTTTGCTGGGACATGATCCACTGCCACTGACTGAAAACCCATTGAGACGGCTGTGGAAGAAAAGTTGCGCGAACCTGCAAAGATTTCAACCACACAAGGCGCGCGGCCTCCAGGGGTGCGGGCAGGTACAGAAACAGATGGACTGGCAGAGGAAGCAAGATCCTCGGACAGGCCCTCTGGAAGGCAAGGCAAGGGGCACCGGAGTGAGTGCGCCTGGGACATGAGCGAGAAAGGAAACTGCGAGCACCCCCGTGCGGCATGCTTCCCGAGCAAGGGACATTCCAGCTTACAGCAATGTTCGGGCCGGCTGCCAGCAGGCCCTTGGCCAAAAGTCTCGGTGCTACCCTTGCACCCGCCCGAAGCTGCTCAAGGTCAGTTTTGGGCTGCCTGCCCCAAGGACCCTGCGCACTATATGCAGACCATGAATGGAGTGCAGCGCCCGGCCAATCTTTTGCCCCTTCTTGGCCAATCTTTGGAGGAGGCAGTAGATTTCGTTGCAACATGTTCCACAGGTGATGCCCTGTCGCTGTGGGCGGTGCGGCTCAAATCTTTGCTTCAGCTTGCCGAAGAGTTTGCCCCGCGTCAAAGGCGGCTTCTCGCCTCGTGTGATGCGCGTGTAGCTCGCATGAACGCCAAGAAGCGTACTGTGTTGCTTAAGCACGCCTTGCAGTCAGTCGGTTATCAGGACACGGCCATCGCTGACGAACTTGCTGCCGGGTTTCCGTTGTTTGGTTGGCTGCCTGAGTCATTGGAACTGCCCAGGCACCCACAACCACCTGCGGTGGACATTACCTCCTTAGAGCGCATGGCCCCGGCTTTGAAGGTCCGCGCCTTGGCACGATGTCAGCCTACAGATGATCCGGTGGCAGACCAGAGTTGCAGCAGGGTTGGCTCGATGGGCCCTTCTTGGCGCCAGACGTGCCTAAGACTTCCGTCATCAGCCCTCGTTTCTATGTTTTGCAGTCTGACAAGTGCCGGCCCATTGATGACTTTACGTTCAATCTTTTGAACTCTGCCGTCGGTTCAGCCAACAAGGT